TTTGCGTGCCGCATAGGGGTTTGACCGAATTACCCCAATGTGTGACGTCCCTAATCATCACTTCATACGAGTGCACTTAGGCCCCACGACCACGGTGTGTCGTGGTCCGCGAAGTATCACCGGATAGCGTGACGTCACTGGTGTTCGAATAAATACTGGGTGCAACTGGCCGTGCTTCATTTTTACCTTTGTACTTGTCTGCTGCAAGCATTGGCGTGCTGGATGAAAGCTGCCGAACCACCTGAGTGTGTGACATCACTGGCCATGAGTTCCAACGGTGCTTTTCGGCCAACTGAAGACCACAAGGTGTCAGCTAGCGACGTCCCTGCTATACGACTGTAAGACGTCAATGGCCGTGGGTTTCCACGGGCCCTATAGGACCGACGAAATGCCGTTAGGCATCAGCTGGCGATATGACGTCACTGGTATTTGGCTGAACATCAGGCAACAGGTCATGCTCCATTTATACCTTTCGTACATGTCTGCTGCAAGTATTGGCGGATTTTTTGTGCGGCCAACTAAAGACCATAAAGCATCAGCTAACGATGTGACGTCGCTGGCACTCGACTGTGCGTGTCGCTGGTCATGAGGTTTTACGGCCTCTTTTGGGCCGACGAAAGGTCATACGGCAATGACTGAAGATGTGACGTCACTGGTATTCGAATGAACTTCGGGCGCGACAGACCATGTTCCACCTTTATCTTTGGTACCTGTCCATTGCAAGCATTGCCGTGGAAGGCTCTGCCAAATTACCTGAGTGTGTACGTCACTGGCCATTAATTTGCACACTCTTTTGAGCCTACTATAGGCCATAAGGCATCAGCTGACGATATGATGTCACTGGGTTTCGACTAGACATCATGCGCAACAGGCCATGCTCCATCTAAACCATGTTTCGTCTGTACCTTTCGCACCTATCTACTGCAAGTATTCGCGCGACACAGGGGCTCTGCCGAATTACCTTAGCGTGTGGTGTAACTAGTTATGAGTTAACGCGGGTTTACTCTGGCTGAATGAAGGACATCAAGCATCAGCTGACGATATGACGTCACTGGTATTCGACTAAACTCCAGGCGCGACAGGCCATGTTCTATCTTTACCTTTCGTACCTGTCTCTTGGAAGTATGGGCGTGCTGAATGAAGGCTCTGTCGAGTCTCCTGAGTAAGTAACGTCACTGGTCAAGAGCTTTTTACGGGACCTTTTGTACCCCCAAACGGTATAATGCAGCAGCCTGATGATATGACGTCACTGGTGTCCGACTTAACATCAGGCGCGACAGGCCATGTTCTATCTTTACCTTTCGTACCCGCCTATTACAAGTATTGACGTGCTGGAATGAAGGCTCTGTCGAGTCTCCTGGGTGTGTAACGTTACTGGTCATGAGTTTTTTCTGGCTCCTTGGAACCCTCTATAAGGAAACATGCATCAGTTGACGACATGATGTCAATGGTGTTCGACTTAACATGAGGCGTAACAGGTCATGTTCCATCTTTGCCTTTCGTACCTGTAAAGTATTGGTGCGTTAAATGATGGCTCTGCCGAGTCACCTGAGTGTGCGACGTCACTGGTCATGAATTTTTACCAACTATTTTTGGCTGAGCGAAAGCCATAAGGCATCAGCTAACGAAATGACGTCACTGGTAATCCACTGAGTGTGTGACGTCACTGGTCATGAGCTTTTTACGGGCCTTTTTTGGCCGAGTTCAGGTCATTAGGCATCAGATAACGTTATGGCGTCACTTGTATTCGAATTAACATCAGTTGCAATAAGCCATGTTTCATCTTCATCTTTCGCACCTGCCTACTGCAAGTATTCGTGCACTACAAAAAGGCTCTGTCGATTCGCCTGAGCGTGTGGTGTAACTGGCCATGAGTTTGTGCAGGTTTACTCGGGCTGACTGACGGACATCAAGCATCAGCTGACGATATGACGTCACTGGTAATCAACTAAACTGCAGACGAATCATCTGAGTGGGTGACGTCGCTGGTCATGAGTTCATACGGATTCACTTGGGCCGCCCAAGGCCACAAAGCAACACCTCCCGTGAAGCATCACAGGATGATATGTCGTCACTGTTATTCGACTTAACATCAGGTCCAACATGCCACGTACTTTCTTTACCTTTTGTACTTGTTTATTAAAGGCACTGACGTGCTGAATGAAGGCTCCGTCGAATCTCCTGAGTGTGTGACGTCACTGGTCACGAGTTTTTTACGGGCTCCTTTGAACCCATTTTAGGTTATAATGCATCAGCTGATGACATGACGTTACTGGTGCTCGACTAAACATCAGGCGCAACAGGTCATGCTCCATATTTGCCTTTCGTACCTGGCTGCTGCAAATATTCGCGTGCTATATGAAGGCTCCGCCGAATCACCTGAGTATGTGACGTCACTGATCATCAGTTGGTAGGAGGTCACTTGGCCACCTACGGCTACGGAGTTCCGCAGCAGAGGTGGGAGATGCACCATAGTTAAGCACACTAATTTTATTGTGCGCACCATTAAGTAACAACTTCAAACGCAACGGGCTGTTTCAACGACTAAAATTTTGAACCAACGTAAACACAAAACAAGGTTTTCCCAGCCCACAAACCGACGTATATGCAAAGCTATTCCGCCCGACATCACAGGATGCGCCCCTGAGCAGCTACGGTCCGGAATGCCCTGATGGCTAAATAATAATCAAGGGCGCCGCCTAGCGGCCATAAGTCTGGGCCACAGCCCGAATATCAGTGACGTCATATGGTCAGGTGATGCTTGATGTCCTTCAGTCATCCCGAGTAAGCCCGCGTAAACTCATGACCAGTTACACCACATGCTCAGGTGATTCGGCAGAGCCTTTATGTAGCGCGCGAATACTTGCAGTATAGAGGTGCGAAAGGCAAAGATGGAACATGGCCTGTTGCGCCTGAGATTAAGTCAAATACCAGTGATGTCATATCGTCAACTGATGTCTTGTACCCTATAGGTACAAAAAAGCAGCCCGTAAAGAACTCATGACCAGTGACATTACACACTCAGGAGATTTCACAGAGCTTTCCTTAAGCATGTCAATGCTTACAATAGACAGGTACGAAAGGTAAAGACGAACATGGCCTGTCGCGCCTGGTGTTAAGTTGAATACCAGTGACGTCACATCGCCAGATGATGCTTGATGTCCTTCAGTCAGCCCGAGTAAACCCGCGTAAACTCATAACCAGTCACACCACACGCTCAGGTGATTGGGCAGAGCCTTTATGTGGCGCGCGAATACTTGCAGTAGATAGGTGCGGAAGGTAAAGATGAAACATGACATATTGTATCTGATGCTTAATTGAATACCAGTGACGTCATATCGTTACCTGATGCCTAATGGCCTTAAGTCGGCCCAAAAAGGCGCGGGAAAACTCATGACCAATGGCGTCACACACTTAGTGGATTACCAGTGACGACATATCGTTAGATGATGCCTAATGGCTTTCACTCGGCCAACAATAGCCTGTAAAAAACTCATGATGACGCACTCAGGTGATTCGGCAGAGCCATCATTAGGCTCGCCACTACTTTAACAGGTGCGAAAGGCAAAGATGGAATATGACATGTTGTGCCTGATGTTAAGTCGAACACCAGTGACATCATATCGTCAACTGAAGCATTATACCATATAGGGGGTTGAAAAGAGCCCGTAAGAACTCTTAACCAATGACGTGATATAACACGCGAATGCTTGCAGTAGACAGGTACGAAAGGTAAAGATGGAACATGGCCTGTTGCGCCTGATGTTGAGTCGAATACCAGTGACGTCATATCATCCCGCGACGCTTTACAGGATATGATGCTTTGTTGCATTGGGCTGCCCAAGCGAACCTGTATAAACTCATGACCAGTGACGTCACGCACTCAGATGGTTCAGCATCACCTTGATATAACACGCGAATGCTTGCAGTAAACAGGTACGAAAGGCAAAGATAGAGCATGGCCTGTTGCGCATGACACCTAGACGAAAACCGGTGACGTCATATGGTCAGCTGATGTGGTATGGCCTACAGTGGGTTCAAAACAGTCTATACAAATTAATGGCTAGTGACGTTACACACTCAGGTAATTCGGCAGACCCTTCCTTCAGCATTCAAATACTTGCAATGGACAGGTACTAAAGGTAAAGATGGAGCATGGCCATGGCCGCCTGAATTGTATTCGGATACCAGTGACGGCACATCTTCAGTTAATGTCGTATGACCTTTCGTCGGCCCAAAAGAGGCCGTAAAATCTGATCACAAGTGACATCACACACAGTTGAATGCCAGTGACGTCACATCATTAGGTTATGCTTTACGGCCCTCAGTTGGCCCCCAAAGATCCATAAAATGCATGACCAGTGACGTCACACACTCACGTGATTTGGTAGCTTTTATTCATCACGCCAGTGCTTGCAGTAGACAGGTACGAAGCTAAAAATGGACCTTGACGTGTTGCGACCAATATTTAGTCGAATATCACTGACGTCACGATACCCAGTGATATTTCACGGAACATGATACACCGCGGCCGTGGGGCCTAAGTGCACTCGTATCAAGTGATGATTGGTGACGTCACACATTCAGGTGATTCGGTCAAGCTTTTATTCGGCACGCAAATGCTTGCAGCAGACAGGTACGAAAGGTAAAGGTGGAATAAGGCCCGTTGCGCCTGATGTTTCATTGAATACCAGCGACGACATATCGTCAGGTGATGCTTTACGGCATTCATTGCACCCAAAAGAGCCCTAAAGCCTCACAACCAGTGACGTCACATATCCAGTCGAATACCAGTGACATCATATCGCTAGCAAATGCCTTGTAGCCTTCAGTCGGCCCAAAAGAATCCCGATCGATGCAAACCCATTTTCAGTGACGTCACTACGTCGGCTGATACCTAACAGCATTTCTCCATCATGGCAGTACAGGAACCCTGTAGCCAGCGTAGCTCTCTCCCCACCGTCGGCAATACAGGTACCCAAGTAAAAAAAGCCTGTTGGCCCGCCCGGGCTGGCGGCAGGTTAAAGGTTGTTCTAGGGCCTCGTTGAAGACTCGTGTTGCGTCGGGTGAGCATCCTCACGACTACGGGCGTCAGATTTTCTACACTTGGCCATTGAACCGGGAGGTCATGTTGCAAGCCGGCGCAAAGAAGTTGTGTCCACTACTGCGCAGTGTGTGTGCTGTGAAACGGGCACACATCCCCCGGGTCTTACAAGTAAGTTTATGCAACTTTATGCGTGTGTTTTAGCTACACACAGGCTGGGCTATGCCCAAGGTGCAAAAGAAAGCCAATGATAATACCTGTAAAGCAATGATATTCTATTCATAAGTCATAAGACAGCAACCATTTTCCACCCTCCTTTCCCCTGGTTTCACCCTGATTATACTGGATGAACTTCCCTGATTCCAGCATGAGTTATGACTGCATCTGTGTGTAATGTTGTGCTGTCCAAAGCCTCTCCTTCCTTGCTTGTTGTTCTGTTATCAGGATCTCACTGCCCCTATCCATGTGTATTAAAAACATTGATTTGATAAGTGAAAATCATGTTTTACTCATTGTGCTTTCCACACACACCTATTTTGTAATAGCTGGAAAGTGTCAAATGTATTGGTGCCAAGTGTGGACTGATTCTACTTCTCCACACAAATTTTCCATGCTGCTCCTTTCACGAGCTGTGCTTTGACCTAGATGTGCATGGTGTGCATTTCAAAAAGATTAATGGTTTAAAAAGATTTTGTGTATGATTCATAACAAGTATGCCTGTGAGGTTAAGCGAGTGGTTATAAACCACTCATCGCAAGTGAGTGGTTATAAAATGCTCAACTCAAGTGAGTGGCTATAAAACCCATTGTCCATCAAAATTGTTATAAGTTACCAGTGGTTATAAAACACTGAATGTACCACCACCTGGCCTTTATAGGTGCATGAAATCAGGGAGGTTTAAAAGGCTGAAATGCCTTCTGCTTCATTTTCCCATCCATTGCTTTCAAATTCTTACAAATTTGCCCTCACTAGTTGCAGGTGAAATGTTTTTACAAGAGATACTGACTGCTGTGTCCTGTTCCCTGAGGATTCCAAAATTCAACCAGTGTTGTGCATAGGAGGGAAATATAAATTAACTATATCATAGTCAGGGCTCTCTGTCAGTCTCTGCACCCACAGCTCAGTGGCTGCTCATCAGTTGCCCTTCTATCCCAAACTTCACCGCCTGACCTGCCCAGCCAATTTGTCAAGCCTGAGGCACCTGGATCTGGGATGATCACTGGTTGGTTTGATACTAATTGACTAATTTGAGCAAGAGGAGGAAGAACAGGCATTTAGCCCCAAGCATGTTGTATCACAGCAGTGATGAAGATTTACATTTTTGTCACTGAAGTGGTCAAATATTGACACACCACTCTCTCCCCCCCCCCCTTAAATTTGTATGCCCTTATTCATTCTTGGATGTCTGTCCTATCTTTCAATGTGACTGATCCTGGGTTGTTTTGATTTGTTGTGCTGAAATATTTTGCTGTGCTTGCAGCTGGAACTTTCTTGGTGTAATCTGAGCAAGGAGTTTGTATTATGGTAATTGATCAGCACTCATTACTCAAGTTGATACAGGCAGTGTCATCAAATTTTGTGCAGCACACTTGGCTTTATGATTGTGGTAAGGTGTGCCACACTTAGATTCTCTATACCGTCATTTGTCCCTAGTGTGCAATGCCATAAAATCCATGAAAACAAATTTTGCAAAATATATAAATAAAAACCTTTGTCCACTAGAGCTGGATGAAATAGCATGCCTGTTGCCTGCCACTGCATAGTACCACACACAGCATCACTCACCCCATGAACACAACAACATCCCAACTCGCATCCATCCCAGTTTGTGCCGCATACCACTGTTGGGAGTGCGTGTGCCGCCGATGACCCGACACGGCGCCGGCCGGCCGGCAGGCGCGCCCGCTCAGCACCGGACTGGGCGGCTATACGCCGACGGACTCGGTCGGCAGCGATGGCTCGGAGGTGCGCCCCCAGTTCCCGGGCGCCACCGCCAGCTGGACGCACGAGCTCGAGTTCGTCAACGCCGACCGCTACAACGGCATCCCCATCTACCGCGTCATGGACCGCGACGGCAAGATCATCCGGCCGGAGGAGGAGCCCAAGGTGGGTGGGGGTGCAGCGGTGACCCGGCCGTGGGACGGGCTGTGGGTCAGTCGAGGTCGTGACGCCGCCGGTTGCGCCGAGGCGTGGCGGAGCGGCCAGTGAAGCGGGCTGAATGTAGGTGCTGACGCAGAAGTGACTGCAGGCTGCTGTCCTCCTCTTAGAGGGGGTTTCTTTAGACTCAGACTGTAGTGACTATAGGTAAGCCGCTTGCTGAGGCACTGACGTCGCTAGCTGAGGGTCGCTCAGGTGTTCTCTGGTGAGAGGGAAAAGGCTGTTGTGGTGAGCTTGTGTACCTTTGCGGCTTGTTTCAGATCCGCTCCTCCTTTTGTTGCAGATTCCCGACGGTACCCTGGTGGAAATGTACAAAAAGATGACACTGCTTAACACGATGGACAAAATTCTCTACGAATCTCAGCGGCAGGGAAGGTAAGAGCTGAGGTCTGACCCAGAGGTTTCGGTTGCGATATAAATGACGTTTGGCTTGTTTCATTCAGGTATAGTAGTGTCGTAGTTCAAGAGAGCCTCTGGGACAGTGTTACATTAGCACATGTGTCTAGGTGGTCGTAGCCCTGCTGCCCGAAGCGACAGTCTGGCGTCTGAATGATGGACTTGATGGGATGCAGCATGGAATTCTTGATAGTTTGGCGAATGTTGCTGCTGTTGCAGGTGTTTAAGGCTCAATTGCTTACTTACCACTCGTGGCTTGGTTATTACATTGTCCATTAGCAGCAGACACCCGCGACGGCCGTTGGCTGCGTGGCTGGTGACAGTGTGTTGACACGGCGGCCGCCGGCTGCGTGGTTGGTGGCAGTGTGTTGACACGGCGTCCGCCGGCTGCGTGGTTGGTGGCAGTGTGTTGACACGGTGGCCGTCGGCTGCGTGGTTGGTGGCAGTGTGTTGACACGGCGTCCGCCGGCTGCGTGGTTGGTGGCAGTGTGTTGACACGGTGGCCGTCGGCTGCGTGGCTGGTGACAGTGTGTTGACACGGTGGCCGCCGGTTGCGTGGCCGGTGGCAGTGTGTTGACGCGAGGTCCGGCCGACAACGTCCCGTTCCAGCACTCACACTCGTCGCGGCTGCCCTCAGGATATCCTTTTACATGACCAACTACGGAGAGGAGGGCACCCACATGGGCTCGGCGGCCGCGCTCAAGCCCGAGGACTTTGTCTATGGACAGTACCGCGAGTCAGGTCAGTGCGTCTTTGGACGATTTTGTGAGTCAGGTCAGTGTGTCTTCTGGTAGTACCGCAAGTCAGGACAGTGTGTCTTCTGATAATACCGCGAGTCTGGTCAGTTTGTCCTTTGGTAGTACCGCGAGCGAATTCAGCGTGTCTTCAGGCAGAACTGAGTCTGCGCAGTATCTTCAGATAGTACCGCGATTCAGGTCACTGTGTCTCGAGCTGTACCGAGGTTCAATGTAGTACTGAGAGTCAGGGCAGTGTGACCATCGCCGAGAGCCAGGTCAGTAAAGTGGGTACCGAACGGGGCCCGGTCAGGGCAGTGCTGGGCGTCAGATGAGACGGACAGGCGGCGGGTCAGATCGTCGCACCCGTGGCCAGGTCAGTGGGCGGGGTGACGAGCGCCACCACAATACGCCATGCCTGACTGGCCTGAGGAGGCCGACTCTCCAGCGTAGCGCCAGTGCGCCCCGGCCCAGCGCGCTCACCGGCGCCGCCCGCGGCAGGTGTCCTGATGTACCGCGGCTTCACCCTGGACCAGTTCATGAACCAATGCTACGGCAACGAGATGGACGAGGGAAAGGGTCGCCAGATGCCCGTCCACTACGGGTCGCCGGCCCTCAACTTCAGCACCATATCCTCGCCGCTTGCCACGCAGATGCCGCAAGGTAACGACTGGGCGTCTATCTGCTGGGAGAAACTCGCACGTCGCGTGGCGTGATTAGGTTGCGTAGGGGGTGATTTCCGTTCGCAGCGGTCGCTCAGTGTGTGGTGCTTGACCGGCAATACTTGTGCACATTTTGGAATGGAGTCGAGATGGGGGATCGCGGAATGCTTTGGCATGCCGCGAACAGCCGCCCCAAAGCCTGGCATGCTTTGGGGCGGCTGGCGTTTTATGCAGTGGCAATGTTCTCTTGGCGTAGTAAGGTGTCAAGTTATCACAAAGGAGAGAGGGAAGGGGGCTTGATCTGCTTGCACTGCCCCTCCCACTTATGCGTTGCATTATTTAACTGATCATATTTCAAGTTGGCATCGTGTGCTCAACCTCTAGCACTCAACCTCTGGAATACTTGTGTCCCAAAGTTGCACCTAATGAAATAAACCAAGAAGCACATTGTGGAAGTGGCGTAGGCTGCTGGTAGACTAATTCTGAATAGTGACCTGATCTGAACTGGCCCTTGTAGGGGAACAGAAATGGTTGGAATGGTCTCCTTACAGTCTAAACGCCTATTTGCTTGCCCTCAATGCCCATCTTGACGTGTTAGCATATGTTTTAACTGCGTCTGTCAGAACGGCAGCTTTTGACCGCTGTCACTTCTGGTGACCTCAAATTTGACCTCAGCCAAATTCGTGTGCATTCTGTATGCTTCGACGAAACCTTTACAGCGGTACATCTGCTTTGTCATACGGCGTCTGTAAGTTGGAGATCCCTGGGGCAGTCAACTTCCCCGCCCCCCGGCCGGGCGCTCTTGTCTCTGACCCCCGGCCGGGCGCAGGTTAAATGTTTGCGACTTCAGCTGCTGGCCAGCACTGCTTCCCAGTGCTGCCGTCGGTGCCTGCTGTCGGTGGCAGTGCGTCCCAGACACACCGCTCCGTCCTCGTTGTAAAGTGCCGCCACGTTGGCAGCGGTGGGTACGGCGTACGCCTTCAAGCGCAACCAGGAGGACCGCTGCGTGATCTGCTACTTCGGCGAGGGCAGCTCCAGCGAGGGCGACGCGCACGCCGCCTTCAACTTCGCCGCCGTCCTGGACACGCCCGTCATCTTCTTCTGGTCGGTGGCCGAGCTGTCGGGGTGGTAGGAGGGGGTTGGGTAGGATGACGGGATGTGATGGTTGAACTCACTCCGTACTTGCCTTGTTTGCGGTAATAAGCATCTTGCATGAACATCATTTTCCGTTGGAATAAGGGGCAAGGTTTCGCCACGCTTTCTTTGAAGACGCTGTTGAGAACGCCAAAGAAGTGTAAGAAATGTCATTCGCGTTTGCGCCTGCTGTCGGTATGCCCGCCGCAACGTACGTGCTGAGAGCATTGCCACCTATGGTGAGCACACCGTGTTGGTTATGGGCATGCCGTGTTTGATTCCATGGCCGATCTGACGGGACTCTTGGTCGGAAACCCGGCGCGTGTGATGCCCCTTCGCTCCACACCCGTCGCGCTCCACACCCGTCGCGCCCCACACCCCTGACTTGAGCCCCCGGGCGCCTCCTCTAGCGTGGACGATGCCCCCTCTCTCCACACTTCTGACTTGAGCTCCCGGGCGCCTCCTGTAGCGTGGACGATGCTCTCCTCGCTTCACACCCTTGACCTGAGCCCCCGGGCGCCTCCTGTAGCGTGGACGATGCTCTCCTCGCTTCACACCCTTGACCTGAGCCCCCGGGCGCCTCCTGTAGCCTGGACGATGCTCTCCTCGCTTCACACCCTTGACCTGAGCCCCCGGGCGCCTCCTGTAGCGTGGACGATGCTCTCCTCGCTTCACACCCGTGACCTGAGCTCCCGGGCGCCTCATCTGGTGTGGACGATGCCCCCTCGCTCCACACCCGTGACCTGAGCCCGCGGGCGCCTCCCCCAGCCGCAACAACGGCTACGCCATCTCGACGCCGACGCGCGAGCAGTACCGCGGCGACGGCGTCGCCAGCCGCGGCCCCGCCTACGGCATCGCCTCCATACGCGTGGACGGCAACGACACGCTGGCCGTGTACAACGCCACGGCGGCCGCGCGCCATAAGGCCGTCACCGAGAACAAGCCCGTGCTGATCGAGGCCATGACGTACCGGTGAGCTGCACCGTCCCCGCCCCGCCGGCGGCGGCCGGCCGCCAGCGCGGCGGATGGGTGGTGGAGGGGACGGGTGAGCGGAAAGGGGCGGTCGTGGTCTGGATGTGGCTATGTGCTCTCGACCAAAGCAGCGCGGGTTTCGTGAACAGTTACGTTTGTTGGTTTGGTGATGTTCGTCAGTTATGTTCTGCCGTTCGCTCCCGTTTGTGGTCGGCATGTTTGCTCGCCTACCGAATACCCGTCTCCGCCGAATCGCCGCGCCGTGCCGGTGTGACGTCACGGACCGTGCCAGGGCCGTGTCAGGCCGGCAGGTCGGCTGAGTGTGCTTGGGGGGCCGCCGTGACGTCATTGTGACGTCACGGGCCGTGTCAGGCCGGCAGGTCGGCTGAGTGTGCTCGGTGGGCCGCCGTGACGTCATTGTGACGTCACCTCGGTGGGCTGCCGCAGGATCGGCCACCACAGCACGTCAGACGACAGCTCGGCGTACCGCTCTGTGGACGAGGTGCGCTACTGGGACTCCACGGACCACCCCATAGCGCGCATGCGACTCTATCTGTCGCACAAGGGCCTCTGGGACGAGGGCAAGGAGAGGGACTGGAAGAACTCGGCCAAGAAACAGGTGCGGAAGCGTGCAGTGGGCGTTGAGGGGGAGGGGAGGGGGGCAATGATCAGATGCAAGCTGATTTGGACATTTGTGCTTCCGTTCATCGCGAGGGTGTAGGAGAATGAGTAATGAAATCTTGCCCCGGCTGCCTGAACGTGTACAATGCATGCATAGCTGTTTTTTCGACTGTCCAACAGTTTGTCGCGATGTGGACTTTTGTGTCACGAACACTGCCATTCTCTCCGTTTTTTTTTTTTAGAAAGTCGTGTGTTGTCGGGCCGTTTTGTCCACGTAGTACCGTCCGTTGGTCCCTCGGACCGACCGGCCGGCCCTGGGTGGGACCCCGTGCAACCGTCCGTTTGTCCCTCGGACCGACCAGCCGGCGGTGGGTGGGACCCCGTGGCACCCTCCGTTGGTCGCTCGGACCGGCCGGCCGGCCGTGGGTGGGATCCCGTGGCACCGTCCATTGGTCCCTCGGACCGGCCGTCCGTGGGTCGGTTCTCCCGACTGCGAGTCCCGCGCGCCCACCCGCGCCTCACCGTCCGCCGGTGCGCCAGGTGATGGAGTCGTTCCAGCAGGCCGAGAAGCGACCCATCGCCAACTGGGAGAACATGTTCACCGACGTGTACCAGGAGCTGCCGCCCCACCTCGAGTGAGTACTGACGCCGGGGTGCCGCAGCGAGGCGGCGCTGCACGCCCGTCCACCAGGCGGTGCTGCACGCCCGTCCACCCCCGGCCGGCGCTGAGGTCTCCCCCCCCCCCCCCCCTCTCCCACGCGCCGTGCGGGAGCTGAATCCCACCCTGCCTAGACCGGGCGCGAGTTCTGGCCCATCTCAGATGGAGATGTGTGCTCACTCGAAGAAGACATCGACAATGCACAACGAAGATATTTCGCTTGGAGCGAGCCGTCAATGTAGACACATGAGGAAACTATAGATGTCTCTGCCTGCGCGCTGATTAGAACTCGCGAGTAATCTCAAAGAAGTGTCTCACTAGTTCTTCGAGTAACCACTGAATCCATGACATACCTCGCCCTCGAGGTAGCTGCTCCTTTCCCATATTGACTGGATGAACCGCCGTTTGACCAAGGGTTGGGGTACATCAAGCGCTTGATGTGCATCACGCATTGTCCAACCACTCGTAACAACCCACGTCCAGTCACGCTATTCGTCTCGAAGGACCTTGGAGCTAATTGATCATGCAATAACCGAGCCTACTCACATGGTAATCGAATGAGGGTCGCAGCTTGTAAAAATGCCGCCTTCGTTGTGTAGGAGATGCTGTATACCCACCAACCAGCGAAACTACGATTTTCAGAGTTTCCCGGCGTATTGCTTGGCCTAACTGACTCGGAAAAGTCAGCTGGAGCTGGTAGCTGTCCAAAGAGGGTGGCCTTAGCTCGGGCCGGCCGTTTCCCAATATCAGGACGAAGAAGGGCGAAAAAGCTAGACCGATGAACCGCATCGCGCTTATTTGGAGAGCGGGTTCAGGCCTGGCTGAACGCCAAGCCACCCGTGGCATTTGCCATCAGGAATAATAAACAAGACTCGGCGTTCCATATGTACCATACACTGATGTTAGCGAAAGAAATGTGGTGTTTTGGCGTCGCACCGCTTTTTTCACATCCATTTTGCGCTTCCACGCTTGTTGTTTATTGATCCTTATGTCCAGAGCGATGCAGCGGTATAATGGAATCTGGGTGGGTGGCCTGTGACTTCGATCGGCATGAATACCTTGTGCGTTAAGCGTCCCTTAGCGAAGCCCCGCCGTGCTGTACATTCCACAACTATCGCACCTGTATTTAAGACTGAAGCGTTATCTGACAGTGTGGAGCATGATATCACGTGTATGATGTGGAATCAGAGGTGAGAGCGATCTTCTCCTGTGTGCGGCTCCAGTCAGCAGATTTCTGACGGAGGCTCTCAGCAGCATCATTTCTTCTGTTATGAGTCTTTTCCGTAGATGGGTACGCAATTCCCTACCGCAAGTTAGTGCTGTTTCTTTTCTCATCAAGTAGGCACACGGTGAATTTGCTGGCATTTTTCCGTTGCACGGAATCGACATGATCAAACACTATTGTGTCACGTATACTAACATATTTTACAAACATGACATATATAAGGAGAGGGCTTACCACGGGAAGTAAATCCTCAACTGTGCAGATATTGACGCCATGGGATGCGTTCTGCTGATGTATTGACGTTGTTTTGAAGATATAATTTCCGACTCATCCAGATGTTTCCATGTCATATATCATGTCATGTCATATATCCGCCTCACCGTCATGAAATTGCGACGTCTGCAGAAGCTGCCGTCATTAAGAGGTTGCGTAAACATTCTGTCGTGCATCCCGCCAAGGAACTTAACCGGCGTGCAGCTGCCTTGTTTGTGCCTCTCCTTGGTGTAGATCCGACGCATAATGAGATCTCTTTCGCAGGACCCAGATGAAGTCCATGCGCGATCACATGAAAGAATACGGCAAGCACTACCCGGCTACCAGTGATAAGAAATAGGACGATCTCGCCGATCCAGTTGATAATCGCGTCAGCTGATTGCTCAGCTGATGCGTCTTGCGACCGGCCAGTGCGTGTCTGTCACTCATCTCGGTGACTTTTAGCGGTCGTAATGTTACGGCTTCGTGAGGAATGCCTCGTGATTTATGGCAGGCCATCGTGCGGGCAATCACGCGAGAGCGCGGCGTGTAGTATGACCACATCGCTGTGGAATTCTGTGCAATATGCGCTGGAGGAGATACGGCATAACTCTCATAGTGCGATGCTCCAGAAGTTTTGTAAAGCGTCCGTTAGGCGTTTGATCTTGCCCAAGGATTCTGTTTATGCGTGGATTGGAGTGATACAGTGTCAGTAAATGACGTGCTACCAAAAAAACAAACCATAAAGGTAGACGGGTGCGGGTATTTTGTATGGGTGCATGGTGTTTTTCATCTGGTGATATAGTGTAAGCAGGCATAAGGCCTATATGTAGATGGCGGGGGTCTCGTGTGAACAAGCGTACGAAGTAAGTGCACATGGCGATATTTGTTTGTATCTGTGATTGTGTAATTGTGTCTTCACCGGCTGCTGGTGCATCACGTTGAGCCGTAAAGGCTTTGAACACCAGAAGGCATGAAATAAGTCATTAATGGTGCGCATAGACGTGAATGTTCGGCTTTTGGTAGCTCGACGATCATTGGTCCACAAATAAAGCTATGGCGAACGAATTGGTTTGGGTGCGATATAGTCTGGTGGGTTACGATTGAATAGCGGACGGGCTCCAGGACTTCTTTTGTGATCTTTCTCAATATGAGTTCGGATTGTTAGCGGGAACTCTTTGAAAGGACATAAATGAAAGAAATATTCGTGTGTATCAGTCTATTTCGAATAGCCGGCTGTAAATACACACAGCATGCATATTTAATTGAAAACGACCGGTGATGGTGCGTTAACGAGCTGCGTTGTGGTAGATTATGGGCCCCCTGTCTTCACAGAATCATTGTGACAGCGACGTTTCGCACCAAGCCACTCGTCACATGTTTGCCAGTATGTTATGGTGCAACTTTTCTGGATCGTATCTCATGCCTGAGAAATATAACAAGCGCGAGTGAAAAGTCGCACGTTTGTAAGACGGCAGTTATGCGACTACGAGATGCATAACTACTGTCCTCAAATATTGAACTGCAACAACCACCGCAACTTGCATACCGTTAAAGCATCTGGAGAAAGTAGATTGTCCTGAGAGGAGCAAATAGCCATGTGGATGCGAAGCTGTCGGTTGGATGTGTACAAAATCGATCAGCGACGAGAAAAACAGCGCAAGACTATTCTTCAAGTGCTTAGCTATTGCACAAATTTAATTAACAGCTGCACCCACATGATTATGTACCTGTAATTTGGTCGGAACCTTTCGATTCCATGGATTTCTGGGATCAGGCGCCTTAAAGCACTGATTGTTTGAGCACTGAGCCTGCTTTCCAATCGTGAAATTCCAATTCGACATCATGTGGGGGAGATAATTTAAGTTGCCGTAATGTTCGGTACAGTCTGCCCCGCACTCTGACACTACCTGGCCTTGGGTGACAGTGGCCTCCAGCTGCAGGGTATCCTTTATCAGGGACGAATAGCAAGCGACTCGACTGAAGCGACTCGAACACACCCGCCCCGCCACAGATGGGGTGGAAGACAGGCCCCTCCAAGGGCCTGCTGACTGATTGAGGGGTGTGCGGCTGTAGGATTGTTTGCTTTCTTCGTCTTCGTACCAGAAAACGCAATAAGCAGAGATGCGCAAAACTCGAAATTTATCACTTGTGATAGTTTTTTCCTGCGACGATGACATGTAATCTCGCAACGCTACGCATCCGACATTGAAGAATGCAGGAATAGTTTTGCATGAGCAATCTTAGGTAACAGGTAAATAGCGGAAAAAATGCTGCGGAGACAAAGGTCTAGAACGTAGAGCAATGCACACAAAAGCTTGTAATCAGGAATCAGCTCTGGTGTTCAATCAAGCATGTATATAGAATATGTACTGTCATGATAGCCGTGCATACATATGCGTATATAAGATGCATGATATGTGGGTATATATATATATATATATATGTGTGTATGCACTTAAAACCACCGTATTGTCTGCTGAAAGGCATCACCCTGAAATCGATTTGTTGAAATTGTGGTATTTGCATCTCGGACATCTTGTGTTTCCCAGCTATCCGTTGTTTGTGTGGTTCCAGCTCATCTCGGGGTGAAGTTGTGTGGGAGTGCTTATGTCCATGACGTTTGAAGCGCGAGTGAAATTCCTTTTCCGTCCAGCTGGTGACGATGCAACGGACAGAACTATGTTGTCTGTCGGTGACAAGAGCTAATTTAAGCCCGTAATTCCAGTCAACACAGAGACCACTTGCTTCAAACTTAACATTCCACACCTTCAGTCCCCAAACGCCTTTCGTATAATGCAGTTAAGCATGCGTTCGGAACGCCCCTTTCGGCCCATTCGCCGTTAAAAAGATAGAATTTCTATCGCAAACATGTCATTCAGTGACGAACTCAGCAACCCTCGCCGTCTGTTTAAAGCTATTAGCATCCGGTGTGCAGTGTACGGCCGGCGGCGACACCCGGTGCTGACGCTGCGCCGTCAGTGCTGCGCTCCACGGCCGGCCATGGGGCGGGGAGTGCGGCGGCGGCGGCGGCGGCGGCGGCAGCGGCGGGGAGCTCTCCGGGCCGTCACGACCGGGCCATCTCGGGGGCCGAGCCGAGCCGCGGGGCGGAGCTGGCGCCGCCAATCGGCAGGCAGACCCAGCGAGCTGCTCCGGCCGGCGGGCCCACCCCTTCACTGTACCCGGCCGGCCAATTAATCATAAATCAGTTATCCAATAATACACCCATCAGCGCCCGGGTCCGTCTCAAAGGGCCCGGGCGCGGGGCCACAATAAAGCAGGCGTGATTACGGGTGCAGGGCCGGGGCGGGACCGCGCCGACCGCGCACACGAATACAGGCGCGGCTATTTACGGAGCGGCAGCGGCGCGGTGAATTACCTCGGTCCCCCGTCCGGTACCGCCCCCTACACGGCTCGGCTGCCGGCGCTGTGAGTGGTGGCCGGCCGTGCTGCGGCGGTCCGCGCCGCCCCCGTCAGCCGCGCGGCTCGGGCCCGCCCCGCGCACGCCCTTCTCTGGGCCAGCCCCTGCATACACTCACGCTGGGACAGCCCCTGAATACGCTCACGCATACGCCAGGGAGCGGGCGGGGAACGGCTGGCCGCGGCTGATGAGGGAGAGAAGCCGCGCGCGTCTCTGGAGCTCCCATGTTCAGTCGTCGGGCCCGTCAGTTCTGTCATCACTGTTACGCCGACGTCGTGCCGTTGGTTGTCACGGCTGTTTTGGTTCGCCTCTTGAAAATCAGTGTCCTTCCAGGTTAAGTCATGATGCGTCATTGTGGTCCTGTGCCCGGGCCCTTTGAGATGGGCCCGGGCGCTGATAGGTGTACTATGGGAGAACTGATTTATGATTAACTGTGACCCTCTCAATTTTGATAACAAAACACTGTACGCATCTTTACATCCTCTCATTGCATTTGCATTTCTGGTGTCACGGACAAATGTTTTATTTTGCGGTCAATCAGACACTATGACAACTAAATAGCAGCATGCTCCCTATCTCGTAAACATCGTTTCCCAAAATGTCATGTGCGCATACCGATCGAAGAATTTATTTGGTTAATGAAATGAACAACAGCTTCACACTTCTACGTTTTTGTTCCGAAGGTTTATGGGTCTTTGATAGCGGAAGATCACCAACAAAAACTATTACTGCTCCTTCAAGCAGGTCCGGCTCTACTGCCAAAAAGAATGAAGCGCATGCTCCTCTAACTAACGTCATAGCCTGTTTTCAAAAAGAACATACCTCGAAATTTTTGAACCACAGTTACAGCTGAATTCTATGACAATATAATTATCTATTTTAACCCAAACTTAACTTAAATTCGTCCAAGGACATCCCCACTTTTCGGCCGTCTTACTCCGCGCCGGGCTAGGGATGTGGATGCCACCCTCAAGCATCACGCCTGAGATCACGGACCCGGGCTAGGGATGTGGATGCCACCCTCAAGCATCACGCCTGAGATCACGGACCCGGGCTAGGGATGTCGATGCCACCCTCAAGCATCACGCCTGAGATCACGGAGCCGGGCTAGGGATGCGGATGCCGCCCTCAAGCATCACGCCTGAGATCACGGAGCCGGGCAAGGGATGTGGATGCCACCCTCAAGCATCACTCCTGAGATCACGGACAATTACCGGCGGTGCGGTGAGATCTGGTGAAGCTGGCGATGCATTCATCGCCCTTGCTCTGTAAAGCGATCATATCAGGCCATGTCGGGTCAGTGGGGTGTGGCGCTTTTAAGAAGGCTCGCAGAACCTTTTTATTTTTTGGCTGTCGTCTAGCCGTGTTTTTTTTCTGCCTATAGGCAGTGAATGTTACTTTCGTACATCGTATTTAGCATCGAACCAGATTCAGAACACGATTTGGGGTATTCTACAACAAAAGTGCCGTTTTATCCCTTGTCGCTCTGTCCTCCTTCTGACTTATGTCCTAAACATTGAGGTTGCCCTAACCTGGAGGGCAATTGGTTGGCTGCATCGGTCAAACCGGACATTGCTGGTTCGCCGAACACCAGGCTTCTCGCTGGCCTTTGTTCGTGGCTTTAGACAAGCTTCCCAAGCCCGTTTGCTGACTCCACCCCTGGCCAACGGCCTGGTTGGTAGCAGCCCCGACCGGCGGCGATCCATTGCCGAAAGGTTGGTTACCGCGCTGCGGATGCGTGATAAGTTCTCTTTAAGGTAACGCGACCAAATATTTTGAAAACTCGAAAACGAGTAGCATGCTGCGATTCTTCATTTCCAAGTCAGTTACTCAAAGTCAGTTCAAGCCTATCTGGAACACTGTAGAAAGTAATTCCAATTGACACGCAGCTAGTTATTGGGAAGTTATTGCTACTGACAAGCACGAACGAACCGGCATGAATCAGGCAGCTGCAGGTCAAGCGCTCGCTTATACATGCTATTGACCACGCTAGCTGGAATATCGGCTGGTTTGATGTGCTAGCGGTTGGATTTTGCGAATTTGCGCTGCCTTATGTAGACATGTCAGTGTTTCCACTGGCTTATGCCTGCTCTCGGTTGGGTCAGGGGCCGGCCAGTTTGGGCTACACATGACATCCAATCGCTGCTCTAAATCACACTGCGATGATCTGATTATGGGGCTGCAGGACGCCTTGTTTAGCGTTGGACAAACGTTATAATGATAGAGTTCTAGATGCACCTTCGTTCAGTTTAGCCGAAACCTAGGTGACTAAGGCCCTATGAGCCTCATCCGAGCCCGAGGAGCCTGGTAACCAC